CGTGTTCAGGGGTTCAAGTACTCGAATGAGTGGAGGCATGAGGCACCCAGCCAAAAGCCGACTCTAAAGCATGAGCTGACCAGATGCCCTCCTCCATAGACACCAGTGCAGGTGTCATAGCTGCTGGTTCAGGCCACCACATCGGCACAAACCTTGCACCGCGCCTCTTCCCCCTGTCCCCCGCTGCGGCGGGCGTGCATATACGTTGTGCTCCTGCCCCTCTCCCAGATGTGGCTCCAGGACCCTCCCAACCCCAACAGAAAAGCAAAGCACTCAGACACCTTGCCTGCCCCTCACCGGAACTCCTGGCGCTGGCGGTCCGAGTCGTAGTTGATGTAGATGGCGGCCAGCCCTAGGAACCCCAGGACCAGGGTCAAAGACAGCGGCAGGTTCACGGGCCGGCGCACAAGATACATGGCCGGGGAGGTGTAGACGGCGGGGATCCAGACCAGGCAGCCCCAGCAAAGGTAGAAGCCGGCGCGGTCGTGTGCGATGTCCATGCTGGACCAGTACCCCGTCTCCCACAGGAAGAACTTGAAGATGTAGACCTGGACCAGGGCCACCGACAGGAGCATGGAGGTAGCGGGCGCGCCGTAGAGCTGGGCCTGCTTCACCGCATAGCACAGCGTGATCACGCTCCAGCCCATCATGCCCATGCGGCAGTTGGTCCAGACCTTGATGTCAAAGGCGCCGATGCGCGGGTACAGCTCCATGCCCCAGTAAAAGTCGTAGAGCAGGGAGCCTGTGGTGCCGGAGTCGGTGCTGGAGGGCGCCAGCCAGCCCTGGCGCGGGGAAAGAGGGGGGGGGTTCGATGGGAGCGCTATTTGCGGAGGGGGTGAAGGTCACTGGTTGGTGAGAATGAGAATGTCGTGGGGAAGGGTCAGCCCCCCGCAACCCATCACGTGCTTGGCCCCCCTCTTTCCCATGCAATCACCCCCTGCCATCCGCCCCCTCACAAAAGAAAAATCATTTGCCTTGAGGTAGAGCAGGGTGCAGAGGATGAGGGACATGATGTTGGAGGTGGAGACGATGGAGCCCATGCAGTCGTAGACCGCGCCCGGGTCAAACAGGCCTGCCCGCCACGTGGCAAGGAAGATGAGCAGGGTGGTCGCCAGCGTGGGCACGCCATTGGCGGTGTAGGTGGGCACATTGCCGCGCGGTGTGGTGGGGCCGCGGTGCACCGGACCTGGCAGCCAGACCTGGAGCACACCCTGGAGCAGGCCAAAGCCGAGGATGTAGCGCACCGCCGCCCAGCTGGGGCTGGGGTAGGCCTCCACCAGGAAGGCCCAGCCCCCCGCTTCCAGACGGCCCAGGAAACCGAGGAGGGAGCCGTCGCAGTGCTCGTTGATGTACCACCTGTGAGAAGGGGGGGCACCGCACTGGGCTGGGCAGTACTGTTGGCTAGCCTCCAGGGCGGGCCCAGTTGGCCCGACCCTTCCAGATCGAAGGACCAGGGGGGGTCAAGCTGCTCAAACAAGCACGCTGATGGCCAGGGAGGCACCGGGACTCACGCGTAGACGGCAAACAGGGGGAAGAGGGTGAGGATGCCCCAGGTGCCGGCACGGTGCACGAGCACCCCCGCCCGCCCGCTGACGGCACAGAAGGTGGAGCGGTCGCCCGTGCCATGCGATGTGGCCCACTTGGTGCAGGCAGCAGCCACGGATGCAGCCTCCACCACCACAGTGGCCCGCGCGAGGCCTTCGGAGGCTGCCATCCCGCTGGTGGTCACCGCGTGCATTGGAAGAAGGATCAGGGAATCGCGCGGTCCAGATGCTATGTGTCTGATGAACGTGTGACAGCACTCAGGAGGTGTGCAGAGGGGCAGAGCGGGACGGATTGGAGGAGGGGAATCTGTGGACCAGGGAAGGTGACCCCTCTTGGTCCGGAAGTCAGTGCCCAAGGGGGAATCAGTGCACGAAAAGGAAACTGACTATACGGTCCGATCTTGACTCCCTTGCCGACTATAACTTATACATTGTTGGTGTAAATCTCTGCATTCTGCCCTGTTTGATGCTGGAGGGAGAACCCACGACCAGTCATTTAGGGCGGTGACGGTGTCGGATGTACACTTACTAGATGCCCGACAGCTACAGCACACGGTCGCCCCCTGCCGGGCGAGCAGGGGGCTGACATGCCTGGACCGCAGAAAGTTCATGCGGGCGTCAAGGACATCCTAAAGTCCATCCATTTACAAAGAGGTGGTATCACATATTCCGATACGGTGACAACGCGGCAATGCCCTGACTCCGGCCCAACCCTCAGGCCTCACGTCTAATGGTGATCTGGTGGGCTGGTGGACCTCAACGAGCCTTGCATTCGGGGCTTAGCCATCTGTTGATTGTTCAGGCCCAGCCCACTCACAAACTCACTCTGTTGGGTTCACACCTGGGGCACAACAGCAACAAGCAATTGAGGGATGGCTTACGTGTCATGCACTGGGACGTCGCGCGCTGTGCACAGCAGGGTCGACCATCCCAGTCTCGCGAACCGCAGCCCCAGTTGCCTAGGCAGCTCCGCATGTGCGTCGTGGCCGCCTCCGGCTCGGTATTGGTTTTCGGCTGAGGATCACCCGTCCTCCCACGCACTGGAGAGAGGGTCGAGACACCCCTGCCCCTGGCCAGGGTGTAAAAACATGCACCCTGCGCCCCATCGCAGCGCCCTACTCTCGCAATTTTATTAAGCCGATTATGGAATGACCAGGGTAAGGCCAAAAACGGTGCTAAGTGAGCAAAATCTCGTCGGAGAGCCTTGTGCGGCGCCTCGGCTGACCCATCGTTTTCTGACATGTCCGCGTATACATGTCGCGCAGAAGGTAGTGAACTTGTACTTGAGGCTGAATTTATACAACTTGTGCGATACTTTGTAATATCGTACATTGTCCGCCGTGCCGCCGACAATGTGCATAATTGCGGCACGGGATACCGCCTGAGCACATTCGTGACCCTCCTCGACTCAGATCACTCAATCCGAAATCGACACTGCAAGCATGCGATGGACAAGGGCGTTCGCCGTCTCCATTGGTCCCTGAAGAAACCTGCCCGCGTGCGAATAGTCCCGTTTGAGATCTGGCTTGTCGCGAGACTGCATGTCTGAGTGTCCTCCGTGACGGCCAGGCGCCCCGCGGTATAGCTTCCGAACTGCCAGAATAAATCAGCCCTGCGAGACAGCAATCTTCCGAAGGGCTAGCATCAGTCTGTCTGTACTCTGTTGTGTCTAAGTACGTCCCCGGCACATCGCCTCATCTCCGCAACCTCTAGGCCATCCTCGCCCTTGGTTAGCCATGCCGTAGATCTCAGCACACGATGCGGCCACGCCCCTGGATGCTCTGTGCATGTATCCTGGCTGCCCTGCTGTGGCAAGCAGGGTGCCAGGTGCGATTTTCGGCTGGAACCAAGTCCCAAACAGAGGCCTGCTGTGCAGGCACTCGGCGCCCTCCCTGCCGCATCCATTCCTCAGGCCCCCCTCCCACCCCCCCTCGCCCAATCGCAGCGCATCGGCAGCGTGACAGAGCTGCAGGACAGCGTGGCGCGGCTGGAGCGGGAGCTGGCGCGCGCCCCCGACGCCGATCGGCCGGCGGCCAGCCTGCGTCTGGCACTGGCCCTGCACCAGTTGGACAGCGCGGCGCCAGACGGCCGCAGCCGCGTGCCGCGCGCCGCCGAGCTGTACCGCGCCGTGGCTCGCGGCACCGACGACGACGCCGGGCGCGCGGTGGAGCTGGGCAACCTGGGCGCGCTGCTGCTGGGCGCGGAGGACGCCGAGGGGGCGCGGGCGGCGCTCACCGAGTCCCAGGCCCTGTGCCGCGGCCTGCTCGATGGGGGGCCGTCCCGGCCCGTGACCCTGGAGGAGCAGTGCACGGGGAACGAGTTCAACCTGGCCAAGCTGCTGCAGACACTGGGCGACGCTGAAGGGGCAGAGGCCGTCCTCCGCTCGCGCCTGCTCACCCGCGCCGCCCTCGAGCGCACGCCGGCCCTGTATGCCAAGGTGAGGGGCGGGCGGTGGGCGTGTCACCTGCTTGTTGTGTAAAGAGGACCTCGGGGGTGGTGCGTTGAACCTTGAGGCGATGCCTGGTGACCGTTGGGGATGCAGCTGCTTGCTCCCTGCAGTGCCAGCCGCCCTCCTGAGCCCCTCTGCATGCAGTGCGAGGGCTCAATGCATGGGTAGTGTGCCTGGACCGCCCGCCTGCGGAGCCCCATGCAGGCTGAGTGGCGTGCACAGGGCATCTGGATTTTCAGCAACCCCCACACCCTAATGCATGCGCCAGGCGGCGGCGGCGCTGCCGACCTACACGGCCGCGGATGCGGCGGCTTTTGAGGAGGTGGCGGGTCCGTTGGGAGACAGCAGCCCCACAAGAGGGCCTCTGGCCGGGCTGGAAGCCTACGACCGCGCCTGGATACACTACGCCCTCTTCAGGGCCCATCGGGAGCAAGGGTACGCCGCTCTCATCTGGGTGCTTGCTGCGGGCGGGGCTTTAGACTGCAGGAACTTGAGAGGTGGGCAATGGGATGCTCTCTGGGTCATGGCCTGGCCTGAAGAGTGTCATTGCTGCCAAGCTGGTGGGAACCCACGCCATCGCCTGCCACCCTCCCCGTTCAATCCCTGCATGCCAGGGCGTACGAGCGGGCATGGCGGCACCTGGAGCAGGCCAACTCGCTGCAGGATTCCAAGGACGCCGGCGACGGCAACCTGGCCTCCAACCTCCAGGTGCAATTGTGCTGCTCTCACACAGGTTGATTGTGCGCTGCGCAGCCGGCAGGGCTCGAGCGCATGCTCACCACAAATGAGACGTCCCCTAACCCCATGTGGCAAGGTGAAGGGCGCTTCCACTACATGCCCTCGGCGCCCAAACGTCCCCCCCCGCCCCCGCCTCGCAGACGCTCACCGCGGTGTTTGGAGGCCAGGCGACTGGCTCGGGCCCGCAGCAGGCTGCATGGCGGGCCCTGGTCCGGGGTGCCCGGGGCACGCAGGACGCCACCCCCATCTTCATCGTGGGCCTGCCCCGCAGCGGGAGCAGCCTGGCAGAGGCCATCCTGGCCGCACACCTCCAGGTGTGGGGCGCGGGGGAGGACGGCGCGCTGGCCCCGCTCCTCCCCGACCTCCTGGCCCTCCTGCAGTCGGGCGACTGGCTCCGCCCCGGATCCAGGGTAGGGGTGCGGTGCATTGTTTTGTTTGTGGGAGGAGATTGGTGTCTGGGTCGGGGACCATGGGAGGAGAGGGTGTTCCCGGCCAGCACAAGCGTTGATCGCCTGCATGGTGCCAGTGGCAGAGGCGTGAGCCTGAGCTCACCATGCTCTCCCCGTCGTACCTGCAGAAGGTGCAGGCGATCGCTCGACGGTACCTGGATGCCATGCGGTCAAGGGTACCACAGTCTAGGAAGAACGTAACCCACATCGTGGACAAGATGCTGTTCAACTCATGGTGAGCCAGCAGTTGGAGCTGGTGGGGGGCTTGAAAATGAAGGTGTACGAGGAGCTCATGTCTTGAACAACAAAATGGGACCTCATTGCCTTGTAATATTCAAACTGCTCTCCTCTCTAATATCTCCTTCTCCAACTTGATTCGATTCCTTGCAACCCCAGGAACCTGGGCTTCATCTCCATGCTCTTCCCCAACGCCTGCATCGTGCACGTGGAGCGCCACCCCGCCGACACCGTCCTCTCCTGCTTCGCCCAGTCCTTTGAACGGCGCGGCATCCTCTGGGCTAATAACCTCACCCGTGCGTGTGTTTGATCGGGAGAGGGAGGATGCGAGGCTGTGTACTGGAACTTTGAGATTTCGGTTGTGCAGTCTATGGCTCCTGTTTGGAGAGACTCTGTGCAACCAGCCTCCATCGGCGCTGCACTGCCAGCTCTGGTGCCCAGAGAGGCTGGTCCCTTGGCTTGGCGCCTTCCCGGTCCCAAGCTCTGTTCCTCTCTTTCAACCTCCCTCCCTCCTTCCCCCCTCCCTCCACTGCGCAACACAGGCATCGTGGACCAGCACATCCAGACCCAGAGGGTGATGGCCCTATGGGAGCGGGTGCTCCCCCCCGGCCGCGTGTACCGCCTGCGGTACGAGGACGTGGTGCGGGACGGCGAGGTGGCGTCGCGCGGCCTCCTGCGCGCCTGCGGCCTGGCCTGGGACCCGGCCGTGCTGGGCTTCCACGCCAGCCAGGGACGCAGCGTGGCCACGGCCAGCGCGCTGCAGGTGCGACAGCCGCTGCACGCCCGCGCCGTGGGCGCTTGGCGCCGCTTCGCACCCTGGCTGGCGCCCGCGCTGCGCCCGCTGCGTCACGACGTCGCGGCGTACGAGGCCGCGGCAGGGCTGCCATCCAGCGCGCCGCTCCTCGACGACGAGGTTTTAGGTGGCGGGGCGGTCCAGAAGGATGGGGTGGAGGGCGGCGCCGCCCGCGACGAGCAAGCAGACGCCAGCGCCGCCCGCAACGAGCAAGCAGACGCCAGCGCCGCCCGCGACGAGCTGTGAGTGACCTGGCGGCGTGCCTGGTGCCCGCCGTGCCATCCAGCTCCCCCCCATGAACTGCCGGCCGTGCGTCTGTAGCATGTGTTCCCATGTCTGTCAACATCGGCGTGCGTGGTCAGGTGAAAGGCTGGCACGGTGGTCAGGGGCGGGGCGGTGGAGCGCCGCGCGAGTCAGTCGGGTGGGTGGGGTTTCACGGGGGTGACGGAGCGGCGGCGGGTGTCACGTGGGGGCGGCCGCCACCTGGCGCCGCGCGGTGCCCACCTCCACCGCCCCGACCTTGGCGGCAAAGCGCAGCGAGCACAGCGTCTCCTGGGCGCTGCCGGGCTCAGGGGCGACGTGCACGAGCATGAGTGCCTTGCCGGAGGCGCCGCCCAGGCAGCCCTGGAGCAGGTGGGTCAGGCGGGAGTTGCGGTACGGCACGTGGGTGTCCTTGTTCACCAGCGCCGCGATGACGTCGCCTGTGCCGGCGGCATGGAGTGTTGTGAGTTTTTTGGAGAGGGGTGTGGTGTTGAACAAGGCAGACGGGGGCGCCCGGTGTGGTGTCCTCGCGCCCTTCTGCATGCTGGACAGCCGCATGCACCAGGCTGGAGGGTGTGCAATGGGTCAAGGGTGCCTCCCTGCTCCCTGGAACCCCCGAGCCACGAAGCATCTGGTACACCGGATCCCCACTCCTCCTCCTGCCAACTCCATCCTCCCGCCTCACCCAGGGCGCTGAGCGACTTGTTGATGGCCTGCGTCTCCTTGACGCCCTTGCCCTCGACGCCGGAGCGGGACAAGCGCTCGCTCCCCGCCAGGTCCACCAGGTTCAGCTGGCCTGGAGTGGGCGTATCAGCAGGGAGCAGGCTTGCCAAAGAGGCCAGGTGATCACACGTTCCAAACCAGTCGGCATCCAACATCCGCACACACCACCCTCTGCAAGGCCACAGCGATGCGCGTCGCCCATCCCCCCCCGCCCGCAAGGCCTCACCTCGGACCGTCTGCCCCGTCTCGTCGTTATTCCCCGTAATGCTCAGCATGAACACCATGTGCGAGCGGGAGGAGTGCTCGTTCATCGCGGTGCAGCCGATCGCCCTCTGCAGTGCGGTTGTGTGGGTGTGGGGGATGTGTCATGGGTTTCCAGCCCAGAACTCCTATGTCAGCAGGCTAATCACCAGTAGGGAGGGCCGGCGGTGCCATCAACGCGTCGAACTATCGGCACCAGGCGCAGGCCACGAGCGCCCATGCCCACCACCTCCCCCTCCCTCCCATTGCCCTGCTGTCACCATCTTCCAGCCCATGCCTACCTGCTTCGTAGCGCGCTCAAGCAGGGACTGGGCGGCCTCGGCGCTGCCCACCCCCACTGCCTCTAGGAAACTGACGCTGGTGGCCCCCGTCTTGGCGTCATGGCTGATCTGCAGTGTTTCACGGGGTCGAGGAGGATGGAACAAAACGTGGTAGCACGTGGCCCATGTATTTAGTTTGAGCACCAGCAGCCGATTCACACATGTCCTGCTAGGTCGAGAGCCAGCTCCGTGACTGCCGCCCCGCATCGCCCCTTCAATCCCCAGGGTTCACCCCTCCCCCTTTCACCCCTCCCTCATCCCCATGCCCCTCGTCCCTACCCTCATGCATGAAACAACAGCCCCAAAACCTCACCGTGTGCTTCTTGCCCGGGGGCAGCCTGGCCCCCAGCAGGTCCCGCAGCTCCTCGTTGTAGATCTCCACCACCGACACGGCCATGGCAAAGCGCCAGCCCCGGCGCGCCAACGCCTCGCCGTCGCCAAACAGCTGGCGCATGGCGCGGGGAACAATGCCCTCCTCCCCCGCCCGCCCCAGCATGGTGTGCGTCTTGCCCGACCCCGTCTGGCCGTAGGCGAAGATGCAGATGTTGTAGCCGTCCAGCGCGCTCTGCACCAGCTGGCTGATCTCCTGGAAGACGGCCTCCTGCCGGGCCGCCGGGCCAAACACGCGGTCGTAGGAGAAGGTGTGGGTGGCGGGGGCGGCCCCTGAGGCGGCGGCGTGCGTCACCTGGAGCTCCGAACCTGAGGGTGATGATTTAATTGGGGGGGGGCCCAGGGTGAGAAGGGGATGCATTGTAGATCACAGGGTGGCACAGGTTGCAGAGTGGGAGATGGGGCTTATGAGACATGCGCTGTATAGCCCTGAGCATACAAGACCGGGAGCCTGGTGTCCCCCGGGCAGCAATACCCCTGAACCCCAGCCTTGCCTGGTGGCCTGCATCGCTGCCTGTGACTCACATCTCCCCCCCAGGCCCACTGGAAAACATACAAATGCAGGGGGCCACCCACCATGGTCGCCGTCGGGTATCTGGATGCTGGAGGCCCCCTCCTCCCCGCTGGGGGGCCGCACCCTGCAGAACACGCGGATGTTCCCCTTGAGCTCCTGTGGGAGGGATGGGCAGGTTGCATGAGACGGTGTCGGCGTGGCTGGAGCGGTGTCGAGGGCGAGATAGCGGTGGCTTATGCGTCCCCACCCCAGCATCAGGGCTGCATGCCTCAGCACCCCTGGCCGGTAAAGGCGCAAGCAGCTTG